CCCCACAACCACCACAAAGAAAAAAAAGACTTAGTTGGGGGTTTGGACATAAGAATTGTATAATTTTTTAAAAAAGTGAATTGTTTTTGAGTGAAAATGGTATTTGAAAATTTAAATTGTGTTTGAACACTGAATATAATTTTGTGTTTTTGAAATTTTGTGAGTGATTTGAAGTAAAATTTTTAAAAAATAGTTTTTTGGAGTTTTTGAAATTTTCGAATTTTTTTAAAATTCATCGAAAACTGACCAAACATTGATTTCGAAATAAAAGTAAAAAATTTTGGGAAAAAAGTGATTTTTTTTATTGCCAAATGGGCCCTTAATCTTACTATCAATAGATGCACGCATAAAACGAACTTGGAGTGCACGGCAGTCAAATGAGTCAACTTCATTTCTCATCCAATTGATTATAATTTATTTTTACATGACGTAATGATATACGTCATTCTACATGTGCCTCTTTGTATTGTGACAAGAAGATAAGTCTAATAAAGTAAGCTGTTTATATTTGTATATATATAAAACCAATCCAATACAAACTTTATAAAAATTCAATCAAACTCCTCTGTATACTTCAATTCAAATTCTAAAACTTCTTTTCTCCATATGGATAGCAGCAGTGAAAATAACCATGAAATAGCTATAGTTATGGTTCCATTTCCAGCTCAAAGCCATCTCAATCAACTTCTCCAACTTGCCTGCATATTCACCTCGTCGTATAAATTTCCAGTATACTATGTTGGTTCAGCCACACATAATCTTCAAGCTCGTGTTCGAGCCAACGCCTTAAATCCTTCAGACATAGCCAAAATCCATTTCCATGATCTCCCAACTCCTGATTTTGCTTCCCCTACACCTGATCCTAATGCACTGAGCAAATTCCCATCTCAACTTTTCCCATCCTATGATGCTAATTCTAAGCTTCTGCGCGAGCCTATTGCTTCTTTCCTTCGAGACATTTCGTCTAAATCAAGACGAGTTGTCGTTGTTCATGATGTTTTAATGTCATATAATGTTCAGGATGTTTCTTCTTTACATAATATTGAGTCTTATATATTTAACTGTGTTTCTGTTTTCTTTATGTATTGTAGTTTCATTTGCATACCTAAAGGAATGTCTATTCCACTTGAAGATGAATTACTTGAAAAGTTACCTTCACTTGAATCAGATTCACCTGAAGAGATTAACAAGTTAGTAACTTTTCAACTTCAGTATAGAGATATTAGATCTGGTGATTTATACAATTCAAACAAAGTACTTGAAGGTAATTTTCTTGATTTGATGGCAAAATTTGCTAGTACACAAAACAAGAAACAATGGGCAATCGGACCGATTTTACCTACTAAACTAGATCATGTATCAAATAAGAGAAACATATGTTTAGATTGGCTTGACAATCAATTTCCAAGATCAGTTCTTTATGTATCTTTTGGATCGTCTACTACATTTTCTGATAAAGAAGTCAAGGAGCTCGCGATGGGATTAGAGCGAAGTGAACAGAAGTTCATATGGGTGTTGAGAGATGCTGATAGAGGAGATATATTTAAAGGGGAAGATAGAAGATTTGAGTTGCCAGAAGGGTTTGAGGAAAGAGTTAAAGGGGTCGGGTTAGTGGTAAGAGAATGGGCGCCACAGCTAGAAATCTTGGCTCATTCGTCGACTGGTGGATTCATGAGTCATTGTGGATGGAATTCTTGTATAGAGAGTATTACTATGGGAGTGCCAATAGCTGCTTGGCCTATGCATTCTGAACAACCAATTAATTCCTTTTTTGTGACGGAGATACTGAAAATAGGCCTGATTGTGAGAGAGTGGGAGAAACGCGAGGAGCTGGTGAGTGCATCCACTATTGAGAATGTAGTGAGGAAGTTAATGGCGTCAGAAGAATGCGATGAGATTAGAAAAAGAGCAGAAGAATTAGGAGCAGCAGTAAGGCAGTCCACAGAGAAAGGGGGTTCTTCTCAACTGGAGTTGGATTCTTTCATTGCTCATATCACAAGATAGACTTTCGGAAACAGCCTCTCTACTCCATCGGGTAGGGGTAAGGTCTGCGTACACACTACCCTCTCCAGACTCTACTAATGAGATTTTACTGGAAAAGCATAGAGCATGCGCGCTACGCTCTCGCCCTCCTTCCATCCGCGAAGCTGAGGCGGGAGAAAAAGCATAATTCCCTGGTGTCATAGGTTACCTTTCTATCTTCCTCCTCGTGATGGGTCGTTATTATTGTTGCTGTTGTTTGTTCATGTCCTAACATAGAAATATTTTATGAAAAAAGATTTTGTTTGTGGATAGCTGTGTACTGTTTTGGCTTTTGTAACTCTTGGATGATTGTTTATATTTTGGCAACATCCACTACATGTAAAGGTTGTATGTAAAATAAAGCATGCTAAATTGTTGTACCTTTCACCTTGTCACAATAAGAAAGGACCAATTATTATATGATAAAAAATTGGAGGTATGGCAAGAAAAGTATGTGGTGCAGAAGTATTGTATGAAAGTTCACATCAAAGACTTGGCTTCATCCTAAAAAGCTACTCCCCGTTCCAGTTTATGTGAACCTATTTCTTTTTTGATCCGTTTCAAAAAGAATGATCCCTTTCTAAATTTGGAAACAATTTAACTTAAACTTACAGTTCTACCCTTAATGAGAAGCTTTTATACCCACACAAATATTCTGGACCCCTTTTTGACTTGTTAAGGACCATAAATTCCAAAAGTCTTATTTTTTCTTAAACTTCGTGCCCAATCAAACATGTTCACATAAATTGAAACGGAGGGAGTAATAATTAAGAAGCTGAAAAAATTTGTGGTGCTAAGATAAATAAATGTGAAAGTCATAATTGAAGGTATGGTAAAAAGTTACTTACATCGGGCTGTTTAGGCTAATCCTATATATACGTCTTACAAACATGATTATTATTGTATCAATATACAATAATTACTTGATACACATTCTCATCCTAATTATTATTTAACATGATAAATTCATATGATTTGGTGTAAATATTTAAAACGAATAAATTTTATAAGAAGTGTTCCTAATCATTCATAGAAGTTTATACCAGTAAATCATGTCATTTTTGGCCCCAAGAGAAGCAAGTAATACTCAAAAGCTAGGAAGAAGAATAAACAAGTGTATGGTTACAACTAAAGGTATCTTTTATTAATAGTATCTGGAAGGTATAATATCTGTGTGCCGAGGCGGATCTAAAAGTTTAATTTTTTTGGTTCAATCTATAAGGTTCTTATATATTATATTTTTTAAAATTATGAGTTCATATCTACTCTTTATTGTAATTTTAGTGAATTTTTACACATAAATTTATACTCCTAGTCGAAAATACTGGGTTCAGATAAACCTCATGCCGTTGCCATTATTGGAGCAATACACATCTATTATTTGATCTATCTATATTTATATCTCCTCATTATATTCATTATTGGTCCTACTATTTCGGTTTTTAGTACAGGACCCATTTCGTTTTTTTTTTCTTTTTTTTTTCTATGATTATCGTGGTAATACTAATATTGTCCCCTTTTATCTTTTTGTTTTCTTTAGTCGAGAGTCTTTCGGAAACAACCTCTTTATTCTTTTGGGGTAGGGGTAAGGTCTGCTTACACACTACCCTCCCCAGACCCCACTTGTGGGATTTTACTGGGTTGTTGTTGTTGCTCTTTCACATTTGTATTTTGTTCTATAAGAATATTAGTTACTTGAGCTTTAGAGTTTGAATTTCTGTTAATTTGGGTTTGGAATTTTAGTCTTACTAATTTACTGGTCTCTAAACTAATAATTTATACATATAGAATTTTCAAGACAAGAATTTAAACGAAAGCTATTGTGTTCGGCCAAACCTAGAAGATATTCTCTAGTTCCGCCCATGTTCATCATTGATCAGTTTCCAGGACTCAAGAACCATATGCTCGAGCCAAAATTTGAAGTTTATGGGCTCAAGACTCTAGTCTTTTTAAGTTACTGTGTTCTAAATTAATAATTTATACATATCCAATGAATTTCTTAAGTCAAGTGCAGAGTTTGAACCAAAGCTATTAGGTTTAGTCGAACTAAAAATTATACTCTAGCTCCGCCCTTGTTCACGACTCGAGAAACACATGCCAAAAATTGTACCCAAGAATCAAATAATGGAGAGACCCTACTGAAAATTGTCATGGCCTTAGAATTGAGTGAACTCTACAAAATGTTGGTGAAGTAGGTGATGTTATTTATGTGGTTAGTTATGTAGGCTTGTGAATTGAAGTCAAATAAATATCATATAGAGTAATACACTTCATATCCTCAAATTAAATACCATTTAGTTTGATCAATGGATAACATTGAGAATCTTGAAAATCAAGAATTTACAAACTTGAAACAAGATGAAGCTAAGTAGTTGTAGTCATAGTTCCATTTCAAGCTCAAGGTCATCTTAACCAACTTCTCCAACTTGCTCGTTTAATCTCCTCTTATGGTCTTCGCGTCTGCTATGTTGGTTTAGCCGCTTACAATCGTCAGGCCAGGGTTCGAGCCAACACCTTAAATCCATTTGACATAGCCAAGATTCGCTTCCTTGACCTTCCAATAACTCCTGATCTTTCCATTACCCCTCCGCTCGATCCCAATGTCTTGAGCAAAATACCTGTATCCCTCCAGGGTAAGGGTAAGCTCTGCGTACATTCTACACTCCCCAGACCTTACTTGTGCGCTAGAGAGTTGTTGTTGTTGTTATAGTATATAGGTATTAGTGCCGGTGATATCTATAACACAAGTAGAGTAATTGAAGGTAATACTTTTATTGACTTGATGGCACAACTCTCTAGCGCACAAAATAAGAAGCAATGGGAAATTGGACCTATTCTCCCTACTAAACTTGCTAATCATATTTCATATACTAAAAACAACTGTCTGGATTGGTTGAACAAACAACCTTCAAAATCAGTTATTTATGTATCTTTTGGAACGTCAACTTCATTTTCTGATGAACAAATCAAGGAGCTCGCGATGGGATTAGAACGAAGCAAACAGAAGTTCATATGGGTGTTAAGAGATGCCGATAAAGGAGATATCCTTACTGGAGAAGCTAGAATATTTGAGTTGCCAGAAGGTTTTGAGGAAAGACTAAAAGGGGTAGGCTTAGTGGTTAGAGATTGGGCACCACAACCAGAAATCTTGGCTCATTCGTCGACAGGTGGATTCGTGAGTCATTGTGGTTGAAATTCGTGCATCGAGAGCATTGCTATGGGAGTGCCAATAGCTGCTTGGCACCCCCAGAGTAATACTCTCTAAGCAAGAATTCCAACCACAATGACTCATGAATCCACCTGTCGACAAATGAGCCAAGATTTCTGGATGTGTTGCCCATTCTCTCACCACTAACCCCACCCCTTTCACTCTTTCCTCAAACCCTTCTGGCAATTCAAGTCTTCTGGCTATTTCGCATATGTAACTACAATACATATCGAAACTAGAAATGCAATGATAGATATAGGACTCGACATTGGGAAAGGAAGAAACATCTTGAACATTATAGGACATTAAAGCATCATGAACAATGACAACTCGTCTTGCCTTAGATGAAATGTCTCTTAAGAAGGAAGCAATAGGCTCGCGTAAAAGCATGCACGCGTTAAAAAGTGTTGGGCTTTTGCTGGATGCAAAATCAGGAGTACTCGGGAGGTCATGGAAGTGGATCTTGGCAATGTCCGAAGGATTTAAGGCGTTGGCTCGAACCCTGGCCTTATGGTTGTAGGCGGCTAAGCCAACGTAGTAAACGCGAAGACTATAAGAGGAAATTAGACAGGTAAATTGGAGAAGTTGGTTGAGATGGCCTTGAGCTGGAACTGGGACCATGATTACAACTACTTCATCTTGTTTTAAGCTGCAGTTGAGTTCATGATTTGCTAGATTTTCAGTATTAATATCCATGGAACCAAAAAGGAGTCAGAGGATTCTGTTTTTCTTAGTACTAATGAAGTGATGTTTGTGAGATTGTTTTGATTGAGGTTTTAGAAATAAACAGCTTTATATATATAGCTTTCTCAGCTTAGCGGAGCCACGATTTCAAGCTTATGAATGCAGGATTGTAATCATTTAAGTTCTAAATTAATAATTTAAACATATTCAATGGATATTTTTAGACAAATACAAGATACAACCAAAACTATTGGGTTCGGCCGAACCCGCTCCCGACACTCTAGCTCCAACCCTATCCTTACTTCATGCAACTCATTCAATAATCCAAGCTAGGTTGACATATAGTCTATGGGTTTACGTTAACTAAATAACTTTCATCAAGACTCTGTATATGTATTAAAAAATCTACTCTCCCTGTCCCAATATATGTGATGCATTTTGGATTTCGAGAGTCAAACGAGTTTTTCTTTGACCGTGATTTTTTCATATGCATTTTAGATAATTTGTCTAGTTAATTATTCTGTATATATATATATATATATATATATATATATATTTATCACTTTGTTTACTACCTCATACATGAAATTTTTTCCGTTTTTTGTATCTAATGTTGTTGATCATGCTTAAAAATATGAAAGGAGATCTTTGCATGTAATTCTTGGAGAAGAAGAACCTTATTTATTTGGATTTTTAATTTTTATATGTGTTTGGCTAGTTTCGGAAAATCTATGATTAATGGCTAGAGGTTGGTAAGTTAGAACTTATTTGAAATATTTATGTAATATTCCCTAAATGATATTGTACTCTTTGTCTATACTTCATATCATTTTAATAGAGTCTCATACTTTAGCTCGAGATGTATATCTTGAAAATGAGTTTTTGCTTGCCCTCACATCACACATAAGCATGTACATGACAACCAAACACTCTCAATTTGAGAGTGATCAGCATGTGAATTGACTATAATTATTATTTATTCGCATATATTATCAAAAGATTGTCAAATGAATCCATTGGATGTGAGTCAACTTCGATTTTCAAAAAATAAATAAATTATTACAATGACACTGCAGGATAAGGCTGCGTACAATAGGCTCTTGTGGTCCGGTCCTTTCCCTGGATTCGCGTATAACGGGAGCTTAGTGCACCGGACTGCCTTTTTACATTGTACAACTGCAGAAAGTATTGGAGCTGCTGCTAATTGTGAACTCCTTTTCCATATGAGCAAATATTAATTAGTACTATGTTGTACTATTGCCTTCATCATTGTTATTGGCAGGTACATTAATCATAGTCATATATAAAATTATTAACATTAATTATTCTAATTGCCTTCATTAATCTATTGGATTTATACCAATAATTCTGACTTCCTAATTTGTACATATTCAATAATTCTTATATTCAGAGGTGGAGCGAAGATTTGAAGTTCATGAGTTTGGAATTTTAAACTTTTTAAGTTACTGGATTCTCAATTAATAATTTGTACATATTCAATAGATTTTTAAAGATAAATACAGGGTTCAGACTAAAGTTACTGGGTTCGATCGAACCTGTAAGCCGTATGCTAGCTCTTGCTTATATTTGCCCAGAGTTCAAAGATTTCTCATCTCTAAACTTTCTCTTCCTCTCTTAAATCACACAAATCTTTTCCAATGGCTGAAAAATGGACCTCAAACAGCTCTATAGCTGTAGTCATGGTACCACTTCCAGCACAAGGCCATCTCAATCAACTCCTTCATCTCTCTCGACTCGTTTCCTCGTACAATATCCCTGTCCATTATGTTGGAACCACTACTCACATTCAACAGGCGAAAATTCGGGCTCATGGCTTTGATCCTGTCACCATAACAAATATTCATTTCCATGAATATCAAACACCTTCTTTTGAAACTCCCCTTCCAAATCCTAATGCTTCTAACAAATTTCCAAACCACCTAATGCCTTCTTTTTACGCCACGTTCCATCAACGCGAGCCAATTTGTGCTCTAGTACGCGAACTTTTGAGCGTGAATACTAAGAAAGTGGTTGTTATTTATGATAATTTGATGAATTGTGTGGTTCAAGATTTGCATGAAATGCCAAATACTGAGTGCTATTCTTTCAATAGTACTTCAGCTTTTATGTCATATTCATTTTTGTGGGAATTCAAAGGAAAACCTGTCTTACCTGGAACTGAACATTATGACGATATACCATCAATTTTAGACTGTTTTCCTACAGAGTTTTGGGATTTTTTGAAGATACAAGAACAATTTGATGGGAAGATTCATTGTGGTAAACTTTACAATTCGTCGCGAGTAATAGAAAGTTTGTACCTCGATTTAATGGCCAAAGAGTATGATGGATTGAAGCAATGGGCTATAGGTCCATTCAATCCTTTAGAGCCAAAAGAGAAGAGCAAAGACTCAAATAAACGCCACGAATCCCTCGATTGGCTTGGCAAACAAGAACCAAACTCAGTTATTTTCGTGTCATTTGGTACGACTACTTCGTTGTGTGATGAAGAAGTCAAAGAACTCGCGATTGGTCTAGAGAAAAGCGAGCAAAAGTTCATTTGGGTACTCAGAGATGCTGACAAAGGAGATGTTTTTACAAGTGAAGTTAGAAAAGTTCAATTGCCTGAAGGATATGAAGAAAGAATAAAAGAAAGAGGGATTATAGTAAGAGATTGGGCACCACAATTGGAAATTTTAGCACATAGTTCAACAGGCGGTTTTATAAGTCATTGCGGATGGAATTCGTGCATGGAGAGTATGTCAATGGGAGTTCCTATAGCAGCCTGGCCAATGCATTCAGATCAGCCAAGGAATTCTCAACTTGTAACAAAGTATTTGAAAATTGGACTAACTGTTAGGCCATGGACGCGTCGAGATGAACTTGTTACATCAAAAATAATTGAAAATGTTGTGAAAACTTTGATGGATTCAACAGAAGGAGATGAGATGAGGAAAAGAGCAGCAGATTTGAGTAATACTATCAAAAAATCAGTCAAGGATGATGGCATAAACCGCGCTGAGATGGATTCATTCATCGCTCATATTACTCGTTGAAATTAGATTTATCGGTACAATATCTGTATGAAATTATAAGAATTACTATACTCTTAAGAATGGTGTAATATATGAATTTATATCAATAGTCTATTAAGTATGTCACGTGAACAGGAGGTCAACGGTTTGAGCCACGAAAACAGCCTCTTGCAGAAATGCAGGGTAAGACTGCATGTGGTCTTGCCCTTCCCAGACCCCGCGCATAGCGGGGACTTGGTGCACCGGCCTGCCCTAGTCTATTAAGTATGCAGTATCATGGTTATTTTCGAGTTCCAAGCTAAGGGAACTGCTCCCTTTCTATCTGTTTTTAGCCTCTTTAACTGAAGTATATGTTCTACTTATCTTGAGTTCTTGAATCACGGTATAAGGTTTAAGGTATATAAATTTATGAAAAACTTTCAACCAACAAAAGAATTCTATTAAAATGTTCAATGACGACTACAACAACAACATACCCGATGTAATCCCACAAGTGGGATCTGGAGAGGGTAGAGAGTACGCAACTTTATCCCTATCTTGTGCAGGTAGAGAAGCTGTTGCCGATAGACCCTCGGCTCAAAGCAAGCATACATAATCACAACAGTATAGAGAAAAGATATGCAGTAGTAACAAAGTCAAAGAAGCAGTGACAACAACAATATCATAGTAAAGCTGAAACACAACATCGTCAGATAGTAATTGAAACCTAACAATATGGAAATACGAGAATTAGCGGTGTACATGGGCCGGGTTGGTTCGATTTTTATCAAAATCAAACCAAACCAACTATATCGGTTTGGATTGGTTCGGTTTTGTCGGGTTTTTCGGGTTTTCGGGTTTTCAGTTTTTTTTGTTACATGAATATTATTTTAATCTTACTTTGTTAAAGTTATAAATATAGTTTTGATAAATGAATATATGTTTAATAAATATTGAAAAAATTGACTAACATATAATCTATTAAAATATTCTAATGGGAGAATTTCTTTTAGTAACACGTGATAGTTATTTTCTTAGTCGTCTAACAATAATTTTTCGTTAATTTACGCTTTCAAGGTTAACACATAATAGGATTCCAAATATTTTTACATTTTTTAAAGAAAATTCAATATAAAGTCTTATATATATATATATATATATATATATATTAAATATTTATATATCGGTTTGGTTCGGATTTTTTTACTCAATACCAAACTTAGTCGGGTTTTTCAATCGATTTGGTTTGATTTTTCGATTTGGTGCGGTTTTTCGGTTCGGTTTGAACACCCCTAACGAGAATAACACTACCACTACTGGAATGAAAGGAGAAGTTTCACTGAACAACTTCTTGTTTATTTCTGCTGGACTTGATTGGATTTATCTGTTTCTCACATGATAATACAAATAAAGAAAGGTCCAAAAGTCACCCTTTCAACTATTCGAAATAGACCACTTTTACCATTTTTTTAAATTTTGGTACCTATAAAGTCTTGCCGTCTAAATTTTGGACTACTTCTACACTTATTCTTTAATGGCTGAATCTTAAATCCTAATCCTTGTTTAATTAGATTAATTATCATAGCTAAGGGTGGTTTTAAAATTTGTATTTTATCTTTAACTCTAGTACATTGAATGAATTGAATTTGTATTTCATGTGAGAAAAGCCAAAAAACTAATAAAACCTGAAATACAAATTAAAGGGGTAAATTTCACAAATGGTCATATAACTCAACGTTTTTTTCACTAAAGTCATATCATTTTGTTTTCTCACACAAAAGTCAAAAATAAGAATGAGTCAAAGTTATATGACATTAGTGAAAAAAAGTAAAAGTTATATGACTTTTGTGTGAGAAAACAAAGTTATATGACTTTAGTGAAAAAAGCCATAATTATATAACCATTTGTGAAATATTTAACCCCAAATTAAAATCAACTTCATTTTATTTGGTTGACTCAAGTCAAAAGCAATAATTTGAATCAAACTGGAAAAATAATTAAATTATTCCATTAGATAATAATTGAATAATTTAACGGTTGAATTCACTATAAATGAGTAATTAGTCCACCAATAGGAGGGAATGAGGTGGAGAAAAATAGACAGGTGAAAGAGATGGATTAAGACATGTATTTGTTAATTTTTCCCACTGTGTTTTTAATGGTAGACCACAAATTTTCAAAGGTTTGAATTTGCTATTTCTTTGATTTCCAAGCCCAGTGTCCTGTACTCGCTTTAGGGCCCGATTAATCCGGATTTGTGCCAGAAAATTCCACTTTGAGGGCCACCCATTAATATGGATTTGCGCTAGAAAGTCCCGTTTTGAGGTGGTAAAACGCTCCATTTTCTTCATAATCAGGATTTGAATCCGAGACCTCTGGTTAAGCATGAAGAAGTACTTGTCACACATTTTATTTGTACGTATATATTAATCATGGCCGGTTGAAATGAAAAAGGAAATTTCTATTTATAAACACTTTTGACAACAATTTTTATGGTAAAATAATCAAAGTTTCCAAGTCTTATGTCACAACCCAATTTAGGATTGTGACCGGCGCTTAGGAGCAAGTGCTCCCAAGTAAGCCTCATCGGTAATTTTATAGAAAAACGGACAGAGTTTCCCCTATTTTTGGACCATCCCAAAAAAAAATTTCCTGTCTCAAATCAACAACCAAACATCCTAATATCATACCAAATAATTGACAACTTGTCAATTAACCAATACAAGTCTCCAAATTAACTAAATCACCAAATAACCACTAGAAGTACTAATTTATCTCCAACTTTGATAAATAAGAATGATACTCAACATAAGTCTATAATAACGAAGAATACTCAAAAAACTAAAGGAATGACTATGGAGCGACTCTAAGAGTTCAAGGAAAAGACCATAACAATTGATAAAAATCATCTCCGCCCACGCGAACAAGTGCGAGGCTCACCAAGAACCAACCTGTGCACTCTAATTAACGAAATCCTTGCCCGTGTTAACTGTTGTCTCTGTAAAAAAAAAAATTAGCGGGGAATGAGTCGCTAGCTCAGTGAGTAATAACACTTAACCACAACCGTTTTTATTGGGGACAAGTTAGAAAACATGCTAGTATCTCAAATAGAAAATAACATAAAAATGCTCTTTCAGAAACAAGAAATAATTTTCAGTCTCACCATACTTTTCTTGTAGTATAATACAAATACAATTCAGTAATAAGCTCGGTAACCATTGTATAATATCAGTATTCACATTTTGGGAGGTTTCAATGAACGGATCATGTAATCAGTATAACTGTGGACTTCTTCGCAAGAAGTCAAATATAACGGTAGTCCCTACTCGAGGGAAATCGATAACGGTATGCTAGTTCTACATTCCCACTAGAGATGGCTATAACTGTACTCTGTAATCGGTAAATACAAGGTGCATCAGGTCTAACGAACCCGCCGTTAGCTACAAGATCCTTCAATGTCTACTCCCATTTATACTTGTCTCTGTAATCCGTATATACTCATAGAAAATATTTTAAAACAATATAGGGCATTTTGGTTCTTATCAAATCATATAATTTCTTTTCGATAACAGTAAATTCAAGTAACGGTAAAACAGATCTAGTGACAATGAAAATATTTAAAACAAAGGTAATCTTCTCCAATAACTATTTCGGTATCATATCGAGTAAAAGACTTGTCCCACATGCAACTTAAAATAATCGGTAACATATTCATATTTAAAATCATGTGTAAATCATGCAAGTTATGAAAACACAAATTGCGGTAAGATTACTACTCACAGTACTCGTGCCGAAATACCAAATGCTTCACCTCGAGCAATTCGTACAACTTCCTCCAATCAATCTATAATTATATGATATCGATCTCATGTTAATTTTCCATGTTTAGGCTAATTCGTAGCTAATTTAGAATGCCCAACCCTCAGAGTTTCATATTTGGCTCTTAATTCGCCGAATTATAATAACCCAACAAATCCCTCTTATTCTACTTGGAATATCAAGACCCATTTCAGTATCCCAACTCAATGCTATCAAAATTACATTGTAAATTTTTTTCCAATATCACCAATATTAGTAGCAATCATATTTGATTACCAATCACTAACAAAACAGAAAGGTTTTTGAAGGAATATCCCTTCTCTTTTTTTTTGTGTGGCATAGACAGACTATATAAGTTTATAACCCTAAAATTTCATTAATATTAATTCTTCTAACTAATTCTTACCCCAACTCTATAGCCATGGAATTTATGAATCAAATCTACAAATTAAGTTAAAAAATTTACCTTCTTCTTCTCTGTTTAGTTAGTTTCTCTTCGTTGAATTATCCTGGTGCTCTTCAATGGAAGAAAAGTGCAAATCTCACGTTTTCTTTTGTTTTCAAAAGTGGCTTCCAAGCTTTTCACTAGATTTTCCCTTAACTAATTCTTGCCCGTGAGTTTTCTCTGTGTTAGAATCCTTCTACTACCCAAAGCCCTCTTTTTCTTTTCTTTTGTGTTTGCCGTGAGTCCTTCCCCTTCCCTAAATCCCTTTCTTTGCTTTTACCTATTTGCCAAATTGAAATTTGGTGGGCTACGACCCTTTTCTTTTTTTTGTATATCCTTTTCCTTTTTTTTTTGTTAAATGACTCATATGTCCTTGCTTGAAATTTATGGGCTATTACATCTTAGTTCTGTTTACCTTTGTTCAATTCTCATATATTTCAAAGTCACTACCTTGAAAAAACACAAAAAAGTTTGAATACTAAAAACCTTCTAATTTCTTTCATGGATAGCAGCAAGTTGAAACAAGATGAAATAGCTATAGTTATGGTTCCATTTCCAGGTCAAGGACATCTCAATCAACTTCTCCAACTTGCTTGTTTAATCTCCTCATCATATAATCTTCCAGTATACTATGTTGGCTCAGCGACACATAATCGTCAAGCTAGGGTTTGCGCCAACGCCTTAAATCCTTTAGACATAGACAAAATCCAATTTCATGACATCCCAACTCCTGAAGTTGCCTCACCTCCACCTGATTATAATTCCTTAAACAAATTCCCCGCGTATCTTGAGCCATCGTGGGCTGCTTGTATGCTTATGCGCGAGCCTTTTGCTTCATTCTTTCGCGATATTTTATCTAAAGCAAGACGAGTTGTTGTTGTACATGATTCTTTAATGTCTTATAATGTTCAGGATGTTTCAACCTTGTCCAATGCAGAATCTTATATATTTAATTGCATTTCAGTTTTCACTTTGTACTATTTGATATGCTTATCTTATGGTATGTCAATACAACTTGAAGAAGAATTGCTTAAAAATTTACCTTCCCTTGAAGAAATTATAACATATGAAATCAGAACGCAGAGCTTCTCAGAGTCCGTATATGGATATTAGATCAGGTGATATTCATAATACGAGCAAAGTAATCGAAGGCAGGTTTCTTGATTTGTTGGTAGAAGTAACAAGTACACAGAACAAGAAACAATGGGCAATTGGACAGGTTCTGGCTACTAAACTTGTTCATGTCTCGAATACGAACAATATATGTTTGGAGTGGCTTAACAAGCAACCTCCAAGATCAGTTCTTTATATATCATTTGGAACAACAACTTCATTTTATGATAGGGAAATCAAGGAGCTCGCAAAGGGATTAGAGCAGAGCAAACCGAGGTTTATATGGGTGTTGAGAGATGCCGATAGAGGAGATATCTTTACTGGGGAGGCTAGAAACGTTGAGTTGCCACAAGGGTTTGAGGAAAGGGCAAAAGAAGTAGGATTAGTTGTAAGAGAATGGGCACCATAACCAGAAATCTTGGCTCATTCGTCGACTGGGGGGTTCATGAGTCATTGTGGTTGGAATTCTTTGTCATGCCCCGAACCATGGTCTGGGCATAACATGACACTCGGTGCCTAATTGCATGTGACCGAGCGAACCAACTGCATGGCTGGATCAACATGAGGTGTAACTATGAGCTAGAGGTAAATATAAAACATGATAATCTACTAAAGAGTCTGACTGAAATATCATAGATGCGGAAAATACTGAAAGGTCTGCAATTATAAACAAGTACCCGACAAGGTTAACACATAAAAGTCCATTAAAATCTGACTGACTGGGTTATAGGCTACGAAGCCTCTAAAGAATACTAAAAATGCTAACTGTTTACCAGGACAAGGTCCCCGGTATACCTTACTAAAAATGCTAAAAGTGTATTAATTCTCTTTGCTTGAAGATGTACTGGAGACTCTTGTGGTCTGTAAAACTGTCAACATGTACCCTATACAAATAATGGCGCCAGATCTTAAGCGCAAACACCACAACTGCTAATTCAAGATCATGAGTCGGATAATTCTTCTCATGAGCCTTGAGTTGCCTCGACGCGTAGGCTATGACTTTACCGTGCTGCATTAATACATACCCAAGACCAATCCCTGAAGCATCACAATAAACAACGAACCCTTCGGTTCCTTCCGATAGTGTCAGGACTGGAGCTGAAGTCAACCTCTTCTTTAACTCCTCAAAACTTTACTGGCACGCGTCCGACCATTGAAACTTGACTTTCTTCTGAGTTAATCTAGTCAAAGGGGACGAGATAGAAGAAAATCCCTCTACGAAATGCCTATAATAGCCTGCTAGACCCAAGAAACTCTTTATATCGGATACGGAGGTGGGTCTAGGCCAATTCTTCACTACCTTTATTTTATGAAAATCCACCTTCACGCCTTCCCCTGAGATGACATGGCCCAAAAACGCTACTGATTTCAACCAGAATTCACACTTAGAAAACTTGGCATATAACTTCTGATCCTGTAGTGTCTGCAACACAATTCCGAGATGTTCTGCATGGTCAGTCTCGCTACGGGAATAAATCAAGATGTCATCAATAAACACAATAACAAACAAATCAAGATAAGGCTTGAAGACCCTATTCATAAGGTCCATAAAAGCTGCTGGTGCATTCGTTAAACCAAATGACATTACCAAAAATTCGAAATGCCCATATTGAGTCCTAAAAGCTGTTTTTGGAATATCAACTTCCTTAACCTTCAACTGATGGTATCCCGATCTGAGGTCAATCTTGGAATAACACTGGGCACCCTGAAGTTGATCAAATAAATCATCTATTCTGGGAAGAGAGTACTTGTTCTTGATGGTGACTTTATTCAACTGATGATAGTCAATGCACATACACAAAGACCCATCCTTCTTTCGGACAAACAAGACCGGTGCGCCCC